GTTTTTCAGAAGGTTTCTACTAGTCTCATGAAGATTACTGCGAGTCATGAAGTGGGGATATCACCATGAAGGATTTTAGTGTTTTTCTAGATTGGAGGAGATTCAAGAATTGGGCTAATAAAATCTTCTCCTGAATAATCTCTAACTGAAGACCTGTTCTGCCAGTTTTGCCCAGAGCACAGAGTGCCTCATTCCTGATCTCCACCCTGAATTCCTTTAAAGGGGTGTTAAAGGTCAGCAGCAAGTGCAGAGGCTCAAGTTTTAATCCTAGTAGAGGCAGATGGCAAGTGTGAATTTGTAGTTGGCAATGTGAAGAGTATATTTCTCTTCAGTTCATCATTTCTCCTGTTGTAGCCACGCATTCTGGGAAACAAACTCACTCAGAAGGACAATGCAGATAGTGAAGTGCAGTTTATTACACCGGCGGGCCCAAGGCAGAGTCTCCTCTTAGCCAAGGACCCCGACCAGTTTTTGTGAAAACCTTATATACCCTAAGCGTAGGTGCCCAAACCCACACCCCCAATTCCCTGAAACTAGTTTGAACAAGGGAAAAAGAAAGACACACTCAAAGTTAACCCTTGATTCATATGCCTTAAGCCTAGGTAGTTAACAGTGGACAATTATCAATAGGCTTGTGGTCATTCTCCAACAAGCGTAATAGAATTTATTATTCTATTCAGTTACACAGATAATTAGGGTATTCTTTTAGGTGATGGAGAGACCTGGGGCTCTTCCTTCCAGGGGCCTGGCTTCCCAGTTGGTATGTCGTTTCCATAGATACTGGGCATATAGCTCAAAGTCCACAGTCCGACCCAAGATGGAGTCTGTTCTGTTTCCTCCTTCACTCCTATTCCACTAAAGAGAGTAAGGAAAAGAAACAAAACTGGAAGATTTCACTCCTCTGTCTTCCTACCTCCTACACAAATAGTCTCATCACCATGATTCGAGACCATCGAAATCACATGCACTGTATCTCTTGCATGAAAGTTAATATAATAACTTCGGATTTACAAGTCATGCCTTATCCCCAGAAATCTAATACCAATATATCTCACAGCAGGAGACAACCCTCTACATCTGCCTCTGGCATTTTTTTTTTCTCTTTCCAGTTCTTGTTGATCATCTGAGATACTGTATATTTTATAAGCATTTCTCAGAGTCATTGTGGCTTACCTTGTGGCTCAGCTGTTAAAGAATCCGCCTGCAATGAGGGAGACCTGAGTTTCATCCCTGGGTTGGGAAAATCCCCTAGAGAAAGGAGAGGCTTCCCACTCCAGTATTCTGGCCTGGAGAATTCCATGGACTCTAGAGGCCATGTGAATGCAAAGAGTTGGATGTGACTGAGTGATTTTCACTTCCAGACCACTATAGTCAAGTGAATATTATAATAATGCAAGTTACATAATTTTTTATTTCCTAGTGAGTATATAGCTCAGTTGGTAAAAATCTGCCTGCAATGCAGGAGACCCTGATTCAATTCCTGGGTCAGGAATATGCCCTGGAGAAGGGATAGGTTACCCACTCCAGTATTCTTGGACTTCCCTTGTGGCTCAGCTAGTAAAGAATCCACTTGCAATGTGGAAGACCTGGGTTCGATCCCTGGGTTGGAAAGATCCCCTGTAGAAGGGAAAGGCTACCCACTCCAGTATTCTGGCCTGGAGAATTCCATGGACTATACAGTTCATGGGGTCTCAAAGAGTCAGTCACGTCTGAGCGACTTTCACTTTCAGTGAGTATAAAAGTTACATTTACACTACACAATACCCTATTAATTGGGCAATAGCATTATATATAAGGGCTCCCCTGGTGATTCAGATGGTAAAGAATTCACCTGTAATGCAGGAGACCTGGGTTCAATCCCTAGATCCCCTGTAGAAGGGAAAGGCTACCCACTCCAGTATTCTGGCCTGGAGAATTCCATGGACTATACAGTCCATGGGGTCTCAAAGAGTCAGTCACGTCTGAGTGACTTTCACTTTCAGTGAGTATAAAAGTTACATTTACACTACACAATACCCTATTAATTGGGCAATAGCATTATATATAAGGGCTCCCCTGGTGACTCAGATGGTAAAGAATTCACCTGTAATGCAGGAGACCTGGGTTCAATCCCTGGGTGGGAAGATCCCCTGGAGAAGGGAACAGCTACCCACTCCAGGGTTCTTGCCTGGAGAATTCCATGGACAAAGGAGTCTGGCAGACTAAAGTCAATGCGGTCACAAATAGTCAGACATGACTGAGTGACTTGCACTTAACTTCATTATGTATAAAGAAATAATGTACTTATCCTAATGAAAATGTATTTTTAAATGACAGTATGTTCAGTGAATCTGGCTTTGCCAGTAGTCTCTATGTCATATGTAACACATGCATTTTGAAGAGGTTAGACTGGAAAGGTTTTAGAACCAGAGCCAGACAATAAATGAAATAAGTGTCCTACAAGTTTGGATTCCCAGTACCAGAGTGCTTAATGTATTACTGCTTCTATCTTGTTTTATATTTTCTTCTCAATAGTCAACCACACAGCTCTTTAAAGCTATCAGAACTCAGAATATCTAAAGCAATTTTCCCATGATGGTTAAAAGGTCACAAGGTAATAATTCCCACATTGAAACACCTCAGACCATGCCAAAGCTCCCATCAAGAAACAAAGGAGAAACATGCTTACCAGGAAGCATGTCTTAAGTAGACTATTTCATTGAACAGAAATGGAATAAATGAGGAAAATGTATATTAAACATGGATGAATGAGGGGATGAATCATGTAACCCCTATATCATAGCACGGCCAAATATCATTGAGCAGAGTTATACATATATATAGCTCACTAGCCAGAACCATGCACTTTTCTAAAGCACATTCCTTAAAACAGCATATCCAGCTTGAGTTGTATCATCATGATCAAATCAAGATCAAATCAAAAGCAAGCTAGTCTTATGCCAAAGCCACTATTAAGGAAAAAGATAGACATCTGTTCTCTTGGTTTATGCACAATTTACCTTGAATAAAATATTAGAACAGAAATTAATATGAGACAATGATGAAAGCTTCTCTCCCAACTTTCTGTTCCATCATTTCACAAAGAAGTATGTGAATTAAAACCAGAAAAAAATAATACTAAAGTATCTGACAGATTCTGTAGTCACTGCATCCTAAAAATTACTGTGGTGCTGGCCTCACGGGTCTTTAGAAAGAGCATAGTGAGGTAAGATCAAAAACACTGCCCCTCTGCCACCCGGGAAAAGCCTTTCCTCATCATCTAACAAACAACAGATGGAGAGTGGCTGAGAGCTCGGTTGCTTTCTAAACAAGAAAGCAGTATTTGTTTTCCCATTAGGCTTATAGGAGAGATAGCTCCAGCCATTAAGTAGTTTCGTTAATCCCTCCAGCTGGACTGTGCTAAAGCCAAGGGCTTTACCACTCACTATCAACCATATCTATTTATATGGAAAGCAGATAAGCCACTCGCATTTTTCCTCCTCTAAGGCAGCAAATGCCAGCTTAGCCAATGAAATTTGAATACAGCAAATAAGAATAGAGAGCACATGATGTTGTGAAAGCTATATTTAGCGGTGCAAACACTGTCATTGCATGTCACCACTCAGGTGACAGCACAGGAGCTTCTCGTGACGCATAGCCTAAGCTCCATCCTCAGATTTGTCTCTATAGCTCATCCTCACGCAGGCATGGCAACTTCTAACACAGGGGTGTTCCCATAAAATAGTTAAAAATAGCTCTTGAGACATCATTATCACCAATCTGTCATTGTTATGACAAAGTCTCAATCTTTCAAACTATACGTAACCATAACATCCACAAGCTGGTATAGAAAACTCCAATGAATTATTATAATAAGAAGCACATTTGTATATATATCATTATTTGTAGCATTAAATGATTATGTCTGAGTGTATACTATATGTCTTGCACTTGACTAAAACTTTGCATATATGTGTATATTTGTATTTATAATCTGCACACCAGCCAGGAGATGTAGAGTTTGCTATCATTAATTTCTTAGTGAGAAAAGGTTGAGTGACTTGCCAGAAATTATAGAGCTATTAAGTGGCCTTGGCATGGTCTAAACCCAAAGCTGGCTGACTTCAGAGCTTGTGTTTCCTTATTGCACCAACTTTAACAAAACTCACACTGTGAAGCAAACCTCCAAGCAATATGAACCACTCCCTCTGTGGACAAATATGAAAGACTGTTGGACACAGCCATGCAGCTACCTGGGGAAAAGGAATGTTTGAAAAATCTTGGGGAGCCCTTTTGCCACACAAGCTATAGTCAAAATCAGTAGAGTCTTAAGAGCTACTGCCACAGTCCATGGAACAGAACACAGAGCAGAAAAGCAGTTTGGCGATTTTTCTCACCCGTGCTTGGGTAGATTTCCATCATCAATTGGTGCATTAATTCTAACTGGCTCCTGGAAACAGTAGTTTGTTTTAATAGCTCCTTTGTGATCCAGGGAGTTAATTCAGAATCCCAAATGGCTTCATTTCCAGCTGGGAAGGATGTTAGACAAAAGAGGGAAAAAAAAAATCTAACTTCATTTTTCACAAATAATAGGAAGATGAAGGTTGGAACAAGCTACTGACTATTTTTGTTGGGAAAGAGCTGTTCCATTTTGACATGGGTCACTGAGACTTAGAAGGCAATTTTCGTGTAGAAGTAAAGTATCTCCTTGAGTCAATATAAGTGGAGCAAAGGAAATGAGTAAAATACAAAAATGCCCCTTTAATGTTCAGTTTTCTGGGTCTTACTGGGAGATTTTTGTATTAGAACTTTCAGGCTAAATTGTAAGGATCTATCTGAGTGTCAAAATAAGCTAAGTCAAATTTATAATTTTATGTCATTGAAACACTTGGAAATAAATGTTCAGTAACTGAAAACCCAGGTTTCCTGTAAGTTCAGTTCTTTGCTCAAGTGTAGACTTAAATTACCTATAGAAATGTTAAGACACTGATATAATTGCATGATTTTAATTTTCTTTTCAGGTGATAAAACAGGAAGACCTTGGCAAGGACCTTTCTGATTGTACTTTGTATGATCTACTGAAATATGATGATTTCAACTCAGACAAGCACCTGGCTCTTGAAGAATTTTATAGAACATTCCGTGAGTATAAGATTCATTCTGTAATTCCTCTTTGTTCTTTTTCCTGTTTCATTACCCAATATGATGTGTTTGCTTGATCTCAAAGTACAAGCTGCTACTTAAGAGAAGTGATACAACTGAGAAAATTTAAGAGTTTGGCTCTATTAAAAAGAGTGTAAGAGGTAAGGGATTTAGTATTCTAAAATAAAGAGCTAGAAATATTCAGTAGCCCTTGTTATCAGTTCTTGTTGATTCTAGTTTAAGATATTAATTCCACAATGCTGTTTCCCAGGTTATTTTAGACTAGGAACAGTACTTCATTGTTTGTCACTGCTTATCAAAAACAACTTAATTATTTACACAGTGACTCTTTTACCTTATAGGTAAACTAAAGTTGTTTAATAGATAGTTTGCATTACGCTAACAAAATACCATAAGAATGACAATTTATATTTATGTTAAGATACTTTGGAATGAATGATATATGTATGAATGCTTTAAGAATTCTTCAAATTGGATGTTTATACTTTGTATTGCAAAATTTTCATTTTAAAAAGATACATGTCAGGTTATTCATTAAAAATAATTCCAAAGAAAAAAGACTAGGAGACAGAAAAACAGAAAGGAGTGTTTTCAGAGCTGTGTGTTAAAAAAAACGAAAACAAATCATTAAATAAACTGGTTGGTGTTTGAAAATCACAAAGTAATCTAAGTTAAAGAGCATTTTAGATGAATAGATTATCTTCAATATTTTTATAGTACTCACATATGTAAGGCTTTCCAAATATATACACATGTGATTTTTTTTTTCTAAAAAGACAGGGAATATACTATGTGTTTCATGTAAAAAGATCGTGTTTGTATTATGCCTATCATACATCAGCTGTCTGATATTGGAAAAAATTAAATTAAAATTAAATTTAAAAAATTTAACCTCTAAAAATTCATATAAACAATGATAGTAATTATCACATGATCATTTTATATTAATCATTGATCATATTTTATGTAATATTTGATACTAGCAAAGTAATAAATATGAAAGACTTGCGGGTTATAAAGCTTTAAGGCAAGATGTTAGTATGCTCTTCAGATTTAATTAAGCTGCATTTCCACTTTAAGTTGCAAGCAGAATACAAGATGGGATATCTCAGTAAACATTTCATCCTTTAAACATGTGTACAACTTTTCAAAGGTAAGAAGAAAACAGCATTATCACTGGAAGATTATATGAAGAAACTGAAACACGAGAAGTTGGCTCTTGAAGAATTTTATAGAACATTCCGTGAGTATAAGATTCATTCTGTAATTCCTCTTTGTTCTTTTTCCTGTTTCATTACCCAATATGATGTGTTTGCTGATCTCAAAGTACAAGCTGCTACTTAAGAGAAGTGATACAACTGAGAAAATTTAAGGGTTTGGCTCTATTAAAAAGAATGTAAGAGGTAAGGGATTTAGTATTCTAAAATAAAGAGCTAGAAATATTCAGTAGCCCTTGCTATCAGTTCTTGTTGATTCTAGTTTAAGATATTAATTCCACAATGCTGTTTCCCAGGTTATTTTAGACTAGGAACAGTACTTCATTGTTTGTCATTGCTTATCAAAAACAATTTAATTATTTACACAGTGACTCTTTTACCTTATAGGTAAACTAAAGTTGTTTAATAGATAGTTTGCATATACGGTAACAAAATACCATAAGAATGACAATTTATATTTATGTTAAGATACTTTGGAATGAATGATATATGTATGAATGCTTTAAGGATTCTTCAAATTAGATGTTTATACTTTGTATTGCAAAATCGTAAAGATGATTTCATTTTAAAAAGCTACATGTCAGGTTATTCATTAAAAATAATTCCAAAGAAAACAGACTAGGAGACAGAAAAACAGAAAGGAGTGTTTTCAGAGCTGTGTGTTAAAAATAAGGAAAACAAATCATTAAATAAACTGGTTGGTGTTTGAAAATCACAAAGTAATCTAAGTTAAAGAGCATTTTAGATAAATAGATTATCTTCACTATTTTTATAGTACTCACATATGTAAGGCTTTCCAAATATATACACATGTGATTTTTTTTTCCAAAAAGACAGGGAATATACTATGTGTTTCGTGTAAAAAGATCGTGTGTGTATTATGCCTATCATACACCAGTTGCCTGATATTGGAAAAAATTAAATTAAAATTAAATTTACAAAATTTAACCTCTAAAAATTCATATAAACAATGATAGTAATTATCACATGATCATTTTATATTAATCATTGATCATATTTTATGCAATATTTGATACTAACAAAGTAATAAATATAAAAGACTTGCGGGTTATAAAGCTTTAAGGCAAGATGTTAGTATGCTCTTCAGATTTAATTAAGCTGCATTTCCACTTTAAGTTGCAAGCAGAATACAAGATGGGATATCTCAGTAAACATTTCATCCTTTAAACACGTGTACAACTTTTCAAAGGTAAGAAGAAAACAGCATTATCACTGGAAGATTATATGAAGAAACTGAAACACGAGAAGTTAAGAATTAAGTGGCTGAATTTATAATTGAATCCATGCCAAACTAGTTAAGAAGTCTATGTGTTTGTCACTGAGCTTTGCTCTGTAGCAAGCATTATTTTGTGTGCTCTGGATAACAGGAATACTATGGTTTATCAGCAAAAAAAAAATCACATTATATTATGTAAGATAGAAGGAGATAAATGTCGTAGAAAGTCCTACATAAAATATTAAGTGAATTAAGAATATAATCTCCCCTTTGGGGAATCAAGGAGAGGTGGTGAAGGTAGTAATAATTGAGTGAGTCTTCAGGATGAGTGGGTTTGGACTTTGTTGGATGAGAGGTGGAAGATGGACAAACAGAATAGTGTCAGAGAGGAAACAATGTTCCTCTACCCTTCTAGACTTCTCTGACTGGCCTAAGGATCAAGTTGTCACGAAGCATGTTAGCAGGAGAAAATCAAACAAAGTTTAATAATGTGTATAAATGGGAGAGACCCAGGAAAACCGAAACCCTCACCTTAAGTAATAAAACCGTCACGTTAAGTACTGTCCTCAATGACTGAAACCCTTACCTTAAATGACTGAAAACCTCACCTTAAGTACCATCCTCAGTAAAGACAGAAGAGGGCTTCAGAGAGGAGGAAGGCAATTTTCAGACAGATGAAAAAGCAGATGTTTGGTTAACAAATGTTTGCTGGGCCCTGCAGAGAAAATAGAACATAGAGAAGAATTTTAACACACATGGATTTGCTAAGTTCCTCCCTGTCCACGCCTCGTTCACATTATAGTTAGCCTGTAGCGACAGCTCCCTTCCTGGAACAGGTCTTTTATCTGCTTTCTTTTAGGCAGTTAGGGGGAAAATTGAAGTTACTGTCTCAGTCTTTTGGGCTTTGATTGAGCTTTGATTGTCTCTTTAGTACACAAGTAGTATGTATATTAAAGAGACATTTTAGGGTGTCAATTTTGCCTCCTATATTGGCATAAATAAAATCTCAGCTGCATGACATACCACAGTATTTAGAGAAATTAGTCCAACTGCACATTCTTTTCTAAGTCTGAAAATCTATGAAATAACTATATTACTATTTTACTAACTTACTTTATTAAACAGGCCATCTACTCTACCAACTACTATTCACACTCTCGCAATATGAAGACAGATTTGGCTAAATAAAAGTACTTGAAATTTGTAGCAATAGCAGGAAGCATTTTTAATGGTATATAAACTATCAAGTGTGAATAAGAGAATTAAATATGTTTCTATAGGATTTTTATTTAAAATGTAGTTATTGTTGATGGTGGGAAAGTGGAGCTAGAAAATGACAAAACAATGAAAATAAAGTGTGAATAACATACTATTTTTGTGATAACATGGCAAAGACTGAATATTGATCCCTGGCAATATCAATACATAAGAATCTTCTCAAAAATACTGCTGTCTGGCCCCTATGAAGGGGAAAATATGATACTGTGTTTGAGAGATGATTTGATGTTGCTAAGGAAGGCAAGGTAGTTCAGTACATTGTAAAGATAAATAAAATTATGCAATTCAGAAATCTGAAGCATCAGTACAAGCATTCAATACAGACATAGTGAAACATGGTTTATAAAGGAACTATTGGGCACTAGGAACAATCGAATTTGGATAGAAGAAAATCTATATGATTCTGTTGATGGCTGGAATGTAATATGGTATCAAATTACAGAAATTATTTATAGGAAATGCAATGAAATTGAATGAATATCATTAATGATTCTTCTATTAGGTGAAAATTGTGTCTAACACAAAAGGTATACATTTTTAATATTTTGAACCATAAAGAGATAATGGGTAATGCAAGCACTTGGCAGTCAGTAATCATATTATGAGCTTTTATCTTTTTGAATCATCATAAAACTTTTTCTTAACTGTGATAAAATTATGTTAACAATCAATTGGAAAAGATAATGTTTTTCTAAGTAATGCTAGAATTATCTAGAGTGTTTTGATATTCTTTGTGGTTTAACCAAGCAGCTTTCCATATAGTTTTACATTTTTAGTGTTTCAACCTTATTAAACAGGGCAACCAGTTCTATAATGACTTCCTGGAGAGAGCAAAACTAACTTGTATGGCTTGTCTGTATCAGCAAGGTATTTATATGTGAGTAGGAAGCATATGCCTATTTGTTTCTCTCCTTCTGTTATAACACAACTAAACCCACCTCAGTTTTGTGACAGAAATTTGTGTAATGACATGATTTAAAAAGTCATTCTATTTAAAATATTAGTATTATGAATAAAAGTGTACAAAAACAGTGAAAAGGCAATCCATTTTAAATTTAGGTACTAAGTACCTATGTGTATAGAGTGCTGTATTAGTTAAAGTAACTTGAAAGAGAAGTTTCCTTTCCCTGAGAGATACATCATCTCAGACAGACAATGATAAAAATGACATATGAAGGAAGGGTAAACACTAATCATTTTTCACACATAGAATTCATTCCCCCAGATAGTTTATAAAAAGAAAGCAC